TTTTTTCAAATTCATTAGAAATAATTGGAGAAAAAAAAAAAAAAGAGAGGAAGATTTTTATTTTTATTAGGAATACTTTTATTGATAATTCCAAACGAATACATAATAAGCAATGATTAATTAATTAATTAATTAATTAATTGATTAATATTGTTCATTTGAATAAAAATATGACAGATATACTTTTAACTTTTAAAAGTATCATTGGAAATTCTATGGATTAATATGATCTTTGAATGAATAGATAACAATATTTCTATGTATATATATATGGATAATGTATTTTTAAGTTTCAAAAATATTGCAAAAAATTATAATATTGATATAATCTCTAATCAAATACTTCATATATATATATATTTAGTTTTTTTTTGTATTAAATTATTTTTTTTGCAATTTTAAAAGATTAATTTCGATTAATGATTTCAATCAAAATAATTGCTGAAATCTTAATTTAAATATGCTAATGATAACTTAGCTAAGTGATAAATTAGCTATGGTAGAATTTTTGAAATAATTTGTCAACTAGATGATTGATGTTTTGCGTATGCATTGGCTATTGGTATTTTTTAAGGCTTAGAAACAAAAATTTTTAAATTTCAAAATTTTCATACTAATCTTTTGTTTTCAATATTAGCAATTTAAGTTTTGTTAAATTCAAACGAAAACTTTCATTAGAAGTACTCCATCAAACAATGAGTGTAATTGATTGATAATCGATAATGTTGATGATATGATATCGATGATATTGATAATATGATATATTAATGATACTGATGATAATAATTGATAATATTTCAACAAAATACAAAATTATCATTCCTTCTTCAAAATTTATATTTTTTTTTTAAATCATATTCTATCCGGATACATTATACAATGCAGCTAATATGACATATACTGGTTTATAAGATTGCCATATTAATTGTTGCATGTTATTGAGGAGACTTCATAAAATTTTAATTACTTAATTAATTTGAATCTTGGAAGCGAAAAGATTGCCACCCAAATTTATAGAATTATCTCATGTATTGAAAAAATATGACAATACGAAATTCAAAAGGAATAGTTTACAAGTAATTGAATATGGTTCAAAAATGAAAATTCATTTTTTATTTTTTTTTTTTTCCAAAATTAAAAATTTTTTTTGGAAATTTTTTTCCGAATTTTTTTTGGGGAAAATGTTTTTTTTTTTTTAAGAATTAAAAACTGAAATAAAATATGAAATAGTAATTTCTATTAATTATAACTGAAAATTTTGTTCGTTTCATTTTATCCTTTTACTAACTTTCGTGCAAAAAAAAAAAAAAAAGTTTGAAAATAAAAACGCAAAGTAAACGGATGTTAAGGAAATTTTGCGTGCAATAAACTATGAATAATTAATATCTTATCTTTATTTATGATTTCAGAAAACTTTGTTTACATTAAACACCGATTGGATATTTTACTTGTGATTGAATTAATGCAATTTATAAAACTAATTAACTGTTAAACAGAATTAAACCTAGAAACTTCTCGGTATAAGCATATTTAAAAGTTTGAAATTAATAAAAAAAAAAAATACTACTGACTATTGTTTTAAGATAGGTTTTTCTTTCAATTTTAAATCATTTTTTTATAAAATTACATTTAAAGATGGATATCGACGGATAGATAAAGTGTATTTAATAAATTTATTAATTAATTAGCATAAAGTATTAGGATATCATTTGATTGAAAAGAAAAGCAATATATGACGGATTAAGCTGAGCAATTTGTAGCTAATGGATATGGATAATGTTTTCTACATAAAATTAAGCTTAAATTGAAAACATCAAAGGAAAAATAAAGTTTATTTGATAATTGAATGTATTAATTAATTACTACTAAAATATTGGAATATCAGAATATCAATACTGGAATATTGGAATTATCAAAAAGAAACGTAACATATATAATCGTTGTTAGAAATGGATCAACTTATTGCTAATGCAAATGGATAACCTGATCATAGAGGTTGACATTAATTCAAAACGCCTACTACATGCTACTAAGCATGCAATGTCATCATAATCTTGGATAAATCATTATTACTAATTGTATTAATGAAGGATTCTATGATGCATGAACAATTTGTAGCTATTATTTGGATATAATAGCAAATCATATCAAATGCTAAATTATACCAAATTGTAAATTGTCATATTGAAAATTATCATATTAATATTATTCCAAGTTTTACAATCTTTCATTAACATATAATTTTTACAATTTTAATATATAACTGTAAAGTTACATCAAATTTCTAACATTTGCACGACCATCATCATCATTATTATTCATCATCATTATCATCATCGTCATAACAATAATGAAAATAATTAATAATAATAATAATAATGATAATGATGATGATGATGATAATAATAATAATAATAATAATAATAATAATAATAATAATAATAATAATAATAATAATAATAATAATAATAATAATAATAATAATAATAA